CGGCTGCCCCCGCCCCGTCTCCCGGCGCCTGCCTCAGCGCCCGCAGGTGCCACCGAGTCGCACGTGGCTGGCGGTGACCTTGCGTGTCGGCCGGCCCTTCTTTTCCTCCATTACGGAGGAGCGGCGCAGGTGTCTCACCCCTCCCTGGCGGGCTCGTCTCCTGGCCCCGCCGCGGTCCCTGCTGCCCAGCTCCGGGTTTGGCCCCAAACCGCTGCCCGCGGCAGTCGGCTCAGCCGTCGCCTCCCCCCTCCCCCGGGTACCAGCCACCTGGAGAAACGGGACCTGGAGAAACGGCTGCCCCTCGGCCTCCGGGCATGGCTGTGCCTGGGGAGCCACCTCTGCGGCCCACAGACTCGCACACCCTGCCCCGGGACGTGGTGCAAAAAAGCGGGTTTTTAGGCCAGGATCTGCTGAATTGCTGGGATCTCTGAATTTCGAACCGTGAAATTCTGCCCGAGGCGGTGCAGACCTCAGCTGCAGGGCCCATACCCCCGATTTCCCACCGTGGGGGCCTCAGCCCTGCCCCGGGGGTGAGGGCCTGGTGGGGCCCAGCTCCCGGAGCCTGGCTGAGCTTAAAATCCAGGCTGTTGGTGACAACGTGTAACACGGAGGGAAGCGGGGATGGCGGGTGGTGCGGTGCTGACGCCGGTAGCAGCGGTGAGCAGGGCTGGCTGCCCCGGCCCGAGGGGTGCTGGGGTTCCCGGCAGACAGGGCCCGTGTGAGGAAGACCACGGCAGCCACATACAGCTTTGTAGCCTGCCTGAGGTTGCGTGCTGCGTGTCATCGAGTGGGGTGACCCGCTGTGCCTCTGAGCACGTCACTTCTCAGTCCTGTGACCTGCAGGGATTTCCAGTTTCAGTAGTTAGTTCTATTAACTGGAAAACTGGAAAAAGGCAGGGCTCCTAAAACATGTGACTTTCATCTTTGATTGTCTTTCGTCTCCTATTTTGAGGTGTCTGGGTTCTCATTTCTGAGCTTTTCTTACTGACTGCAATGTTGAGAGGCAAAAAAGCAGTGCCAGCTTTTTTTTGTGTTTGGTCCCAAACTATCCCTGGTTTATCCCTCCCAGCCATTTCTGGTGAAGCATCCCTCAAATTCCTTCTAAAACAATATTGCTAAATTATCTCCTCAGAGTTTTTGATTTCATCTAGCTCAGCCCTATACTCCTATCTTTCCTATTAGCTAGAAGGAAAATTCTGCTTTTTTTTTTTTTTTTTTTTTTTTTTTTTTTTTTTTTTTGATAATTCCAACATAGATATTCTTAATAGTGAAATCTCCGCAATTTTTGAAGCAACTATTTTGAATTATTTCTATTTAGCAGAAGACATGGCTTTATTGAGTACTAAGCTTTAAAAAAAATGGGAATCAAGACAGCCATGACATCTTCCCGCACACAGAGACAGAATGTATGAGATGAATGTAGAAATGTAGAAATAAAATGTAGAAAATAAAAAACATTATTTTTGGCAGTCAGTGGAAAGAAGGGCTTCTTAAAGTCTGATAGGTTCATGTTGACCATAGGCTGTACATCAGTACCAGTAGCTCAGCCTTCTCTTTCTCAGCCTTCAACTGTGTCTTGCTCCATATGACTATGACTGAGCTTTAAGAGGATTTTTGTTTCTAATGGTTTAACAGTAATTTCTCTAATTGAAGGAGCATGCATCTGAGAGTGGATATTGTGAAAATAAGAATTCTTACTCCTATATGAACAACATTCATGCCCAATTAATGGTGTCCAACTGAGTGAGAAAACAAGATACACAGAAATAGAGGTAGCCAGTTTTCTTTTCCTTCCTTTTCTAAAGTTGTATTTTTATGCTACCCACAGTGAATCATCACTGTACAGTTGTTCTGAGAAACCGAGTAGTTTTCATATCACCCAACAGTGCATGCTAAAAGAACTAGAAACAACTAGAGGTGAAACTAGCAGAACATCTATCAAAACAAAAAAGTAATCTGGTAATTTAAGAGGTACTGTGTGGTACAAGTAGGTGGCAGCATTATTCCTTGGGTCTCTCTCTGTAAATTTTCCTACATGCCATAAGTGTATTTTGCTAATTTACATTACAGGATAGTACATAAATCAGTGATTTCTCCTACTGTCTTTTGATAACGTTGCATATATATGAGAGCCAAGCACATGCATCAATCACTCTTTTAATTCCAAGATTATTAAAAAAATTCCCAACTTTTCTGTATTGTAGAGATATTACATATATGAGGAAACACAAGTCCGAATTTCACAAATTGTGTCTTGTGACTCACAATTCAAAGACATTTTTGGTTGTGATCATATACTTAGGTTGCCTAACACCTTCTCACAACTTTGCCATTCATTCAGACCACACCTTTCTCCATGCCCATTCCTGAGTTTCCCATCTCTGGGGGAGGAAAAAAAATCACAATAAAGCTGTCTAAAAATATTTTATAACAGCCTACTCCCACAGGAGTGGACTTTGCCTTTTCCCCATGCCCTTAGTAATATACAAACAAGAACACCAAGGGACGATGTCTCAGCATACAGCCATTACTTTCATGTGAAAGGTGTATGTGGCTTCAAGTAGGTCATCATGCCCTAGAGCTTTTCGGTTTTTGTTAGGAGTTCTCTTTCACTAGTCTGCCAGCTAGCCATCTCCCTCAGCGGTCAGCTAAATCCTGGTGCTAGCACAAGGAAGGAGTGGAAATCCACAACCATGGTTAGAAAATGAAGATAGCACAGGATCAGCACCGACTTGAATCAACTTGAACTGGTATGAAATGGCATCTTAATTGAGCATGTGGCTGGAGCTGTCTACACCTCTCTTAAATAAACTGGAAAGCACCCTGAGTTGAAAGCAAGGTGAAAGTAGGAATCTGGGGGATAGGTCTTCTGCCAATTCATATTAAATCCCTACAAGTTGCCTGTAATCTTACTAAAAACCAAAATACGTAACTCAGTTTTCTATTGATGTTAAACTAAAGTAAATCTCTACTAGTTACCAAACTACTCGTATGACTATGACAAGTCGTATGTTGTTATGCTATTCAAAACTGCTCAAGAAGTGTTCCTACTGCCAGGCTTGCAAGTGAAAGCCAGGCATTCTCATACTGCCGCTGGCAAGGGTGGAGGGGTCCTGCTTACTGCTGCAGCAGAGCAGTCACCTCCTGGTCTGCGCTGCCAGCAGAGCAGGCTCCTGCTTCTGTGTGTTGTGCACAATCTACGCTCCTAGTAGGGAAAGAAAAACTGCCCACAGGTACTCTAGCTGCACGGTTCAAAAGATGCAGTTGCTTTGTCCTTCTCATATGCAGCACAGGAATCAAAAACCAGATCTCTTGAATTCAGATGAGGAGGAAACAGACTATGTTTTAATGCAGAAGAGGTACAAATAATTTGTAGTACTAAGGACCGTTTAGCAATTACTGACCACTAGAGGGGATCATAGGAGTGGAGGAGGAATTGAATACACTGCATAATAAATGCTTTCCTCTAACGATTGCCTACATGCGATGTTGTACTGTATGTGCACAGTTTAAAAATTATTGAGAAAAGACAGCATTTTATGCATGCTTAAGTTAATATAAGCAGCTTATATTAATTGTGTCTAAAACAGATCAATAACAGGTTTAATTGTTAAAATGAAGTAACTTCTTTACAGAATTTTTTTATCAGTTTAAATTTATACAGGTTAAACCTATTAAACTTCCATCTGTAAAAAGCTACTGACCCTTCTTTTAACCTATTAAAAAGAAAGGCACCGGTCTTCAGTCTTTTTACTGACATTTAAACAAGTGTAGCTTGCTTGTTAAAACCTAATATTAAATAGATTTTAGTCCTTCTGTAAACACTTTCATATCTTTAAAGATGATTTGGGAGTACCCATCCCAGACAGTATCAACTTACTTATGCCGTTGTGGAACCTCACTGCTAGTTAAAATTGATCTATATATAAATTACATCAATCTTGCAAGTAAAGTAAGTGTGAATGATGATTATACTAACTTCACCAAACCTGAGCGGATTTATACAAGCTGCAAGAATCCTGCCCATCAATTTAAGGGTTACCCTACTGAAGTTGAAGGTGACCTCCCATGATAGACATTTGATTTATAAATCACCCTTCCAACATCTCCCAGACCAAATCGAGCCACCTAAGTAGTGACATTAAAGTTTTCAGTCCAAAATGAAGTCTTTTGAGGAATTATGCACAGTGATAAATTTTGCAGAATGAAAATTTCTATTTCTTGAAAAATGGACTGCTCTCAAACTACTTTCTCAGGACACATGTCTCTGCACAAGTGGTGGGGAGCTGGGTTCTGACTGACAAATCAGAACCGAGCAGCCAGCAACACCTTGCACAATGACTGCAACATTCTGACTAGCCCTCTTTTTCCAGTGCTTATCTAAGGAGACAGGGGCTCTTCATTGTCCTTGAGCTGGGATGAAATGAGTAAGGCACAGTCTAGCTCTGTACTGTTATAAGCTTAATTGCACATAGTTACTGAGACGTCTGTCATTTACATTAGAAGGAGTAGGTGTGGGGCCTAACTATTTCAGTGAGTTATGCTCATACCTTCTAGCATCACTGATAAATAATTTGTTGCAGACCAGGTATCTACATTCATTTGCTTCTGTTTTTTTCTGCTAGTGCATTATAAGAGAAGCGTTGAAAGAGACGTACAAGAGACTGTTGAAAGAACCTAGATTTCTTTTTGCTTGAGTCTCACACTGAATATATTAATATGCAACAATATAGCAAGAAAGATGTTGACCATAAGCAACTTTACAAAAGGGAAATCTGAGTGACTGATGGAACTGCCATCACCTTTCACCTCTGTCAGGGGACTCAATTTAATTGTCTTCTCACTACCAAGATAGTCATTATACCATGAAGACTATGTACTTCTGAAGTTTCTCGTGGATTTTATTTATTAAGAGAAAGTGAGAAGATGATTTAGTCTGTAGATGCCCAGTGAACGTTTGTTTGCAGAAGAGGCTGCTGAGTACTGGTCACAATTCTGTGGACATGATTCCATTATGAATGAGACTGAAGTCTCAAATTAGTGCAACATATTAAGTGAGCAAAAAAAGACAGACCTGCAGTAAGTCTGGCCCCTGCTACAGCAAATGTTCAGCCTGGCAGGACAAAGCAATGAATATTCCAAGTTCATATTTCTCATTCTTTTAAAAATAAACTGTGCCCGTTTTGCTCTTCAGACCATATGGCATGAATCATTTCAGTGAAACATTCATCACATCATGATTTACACTGACATTATTTCTTAGAAGTTAAGTGGTGGGACTTCACTGTGAGAAGCTTTATGTATTACAGCCATTCTCTGTTCTCTTTCACTTGTTTCACTGAAAGGTAAATTCATTAATCTCAGCTCAAAACTAGAGTTACGGGAGTGAAAAACCAAGCACAAAGTGTTCCTGCTTTTAGGTTTTCTCTTTGAAAATTAATCTCATGAATGTACACAGACTTTTACTTGTAAGCTGTTTTACTCATTTATGATGTAGTCAGAGGTGCCTGTTTCATACTTACTCTGTTTTCAAGAAAGTACAACAGAGAAAAGTCTTATGATAGTTCTTCTGCAAATACCAATTTAATTAAAATATGCTGAATATTTAAATGGAAAAGAAAGCATGTAACCAGATGTGTGAGTTGCCTGGGAGGGATTCTCTGAGGTCAGAAACCTGCTACCAGTCCCCACAACCTACATGAATAAGACTGGAAGGCTCAGACTTCTCCATGAAAGCGTGTGTGTGTGTGATGGCACGCACTACACTACCTCCATAGGGAATTC